ATATATTCTGCCATTCATACCATGCAGGTTATACCATATGTTCATTTGTTTGTTATGTATGTGCACGGTAGCGTTAGATTTTAAAATTCAGATCAGTGGTGGTCCAGGGAAAATGCTGTTGTATTACGTCTTCATTTCTTAAGGTGTTAGAATTAACGTAATTATTATTTTCTTTATACAGTGTGTGAGTTTTTAAACTTCTGTCCTATTACCGAGAAAAGTTTATACAACAACAATGAACAAGGAGACTGACGTCTTGTGAAAGATAATATTGAAATGATCTTTGTGGGAAGTTGTAATGTTTATCTTTTTCTACATTACCTAATTTGGGATCGAGGAAATGGCGAAATATTGGAGTTATATTGAGCTTGCTTACTTAGATTTATCGAGCTTAAACTAGAGCAGCTTGAAAATGCACTTACTTTTTCATGATAAATTTAAATGACTGTTACATTACTTATTTCACATTGCCGTCACTTAAAGGTTAAATATATGAATTTTAAGTTATTTAACATGATGATCCTTACAAATTCAAAGGTTACAAAAATGAGGACTCTATTCATTATAATCCGTTCTTGTAAAAAAACAAAACTCATTTGGCTGGCAAACATTTTACTGTTGTAGAGAATTAAGATACAATGTCATAATGTTTAATTACGAGGTCATTAATTTTTCTTTTTAATTCCATTTAAATTGTTCGTAAGTTGGATAACTTTTATTGTTACGAAATACCTTTTCAGAAAAACTCACGATATTGTTTATTGTTCCTGATGTTATGTTTAATTTTTGTAATTATTTGATATTGACATAACGATTTAGTTTAGACCTCTGGTAGGTAGTTTAAGTATTTCATATACTATATTATACTTTGTAAAATTTTAAGTTGATATGCTTCGTTGTTTAGATAGAAACTGTATTCCTCTAAGTATTCTCTTGTGACCGTTCAGATGTTTCGATTATTACTTGAAGCTGTACAAAATCGGAAAGCGTAAAACAACTGGATGGAGAACACGGCAGTAGAAAAATCAAACATTACTTGAAAGACTTACCTTCCACCTGCTTCCAAAGAGACATTTTTATCACACTAGGTGAAGCTTCGGACTTTCAAGTCTCACAGTCTCATACCAATAAATTGTTCTTGTAGTATATATATATATATATGAAGCAATCTAGATTTTAGTTCTTACCAACATCATCTATTTTTGAGAAATTTCAGACAGTGAAACGTTCATAATAACAAAACACTGAGCTTAGATTGCTATTAAACTAATTGCAGTCACAGGTATGAATTAAATATAATGTTTTCATGGTGTTAGTGGTTTAAACTTAACAGCTCTTTTCTTACGCGCTTTTTTATCTCTTTTGTGTTATATGATATGTAGCTAAAGCATAAAGTATTAAGATGTTTAGAGAGTACGCCAGCTTGTTCAACAGACGATTTTAAACAAACAGTACAATCCAATATACATGTTTGTTTGTTTTTAAACTGGAAAAGAAGTAGTAATAACCATTAAGTATTACTGGAAATCATAAAGCTTATTAAGAAGAGTTAAGTGTAATCTTGAATATTTATGATGTCAATATTTAGTTTTCCCAGAGTTTCCTCTTTTATGGAAATACATATGTGAACCCGTGTTGTCGAAAAATGTTTACCAGGAAAGCTGATATGTGTCAACATTTCTTGCAGTTTCCTGTATACTTGTAGCTTCTGTACGTTAATTACCCATCAGTTTTACAGTTGGACTAGTAAGATCTACACACGATTAGTGGTAGAGTTGGATGTCAATTGTTTGTTAGCACTTTAACATCAGCACCTCCCTCCAACAAGTCAAAAGTGCAAGTACATCAATAATACACATCTATAGGTTCAAGTATAATAATGAAAACTACTTTACAAAAGACTGAAAAATGTTATAGTTTGTGTGAAAAATCAGCATAGACGTAATCTGGTTTTGATGCGTCGAAGGTCGAGAATTACCTAAGTTACGCTGTTAAATTTGAGGATTAATAATTGATAAATTAAGATTTCTGACATTAAAAAAGTTCTCAAGAGAAGAGGTTTCTTTGAATTTAAAGAATGTTACCATAGCCTTTCATTTTTACCTTCGCCATCTGCACATAATTAATGTATTTAAGTTTAATAATATTAACGGTACTAAATTAAAAATTTGATGATAAGATCTTGTTTTACTTTTTTTCCATCTGCATGATTTTTAATTTGTTCAACGTCAACATCAACAGTGGCGAATCTGAGTGTGTGTGTGTGTGTCTTGAAAGTGAATTCATTCATGATAAATTAACTTTTATGAAAAGGCTTATTCGTCTATTAATAACTCAAGCCTGTTGTCAAGTTCTAAATTTATCACAAAGAACAGGGTAACTAGTTTGGTTTCGTGACTAACGAGCATAGTTTTTCTTTAGTTTTTGGTTTTGGAATAGTTAATACAAATCTGTCATCATAAATGAGGTTTTCAAACTTCTGTAATCAGAATAAAATGTTTCGGTCTTGTAATTATTATCATAAACGTTTCATTCATCATAGACATTACAGCATGTAGATTAATACTTGTTCATCAAAAGAAGCTCTGAACAGGTAATATAGTAAGTTTCCCATAATTAGTATAAAATTACGTAGAAGAGAGACTTATTTGT